GCAACTCTGCCATTTATTGAGGCAGAAATACAAGATATTTATATAAAATACATCAATATGAAATAGATATTTAAGATTGTAAAGAAATATAAGAAATATAAGAAAAAAATAAATTAAATATATTAAAGAAATTAGTGAAATTAGAGATCGCCAAGAAATTAGTGAAATCCGAGAAATCAAAGAAATGGTAGATTCATGATCGACATGATTACCATTCGTCAATTAGGTTAGGCGCAGTATCATGCGTTATAACAAGACTATCACTAACAATATTACTAACCCAGAACAATTTCTAGAGTCCCGACTATGCTTCCGCGACAAATGGGTGGTATGCTGTTAAAATTGAGGTACTAGACATAGTAAATCATATGATCTGTACCTCAATTTTAATAGCATACCACCCAAATCATAAGAAACTCGTCATAACGTGGTATGTATCTTTTAAATGTTTCATGAGATTTCTTAAATATATAAACAACGCTGCTGACAACTCGTTTTGGCAAAAATTAACATAAAATTACAAGGAAGTACGGTTTATACACCCTTCACGTTCCAAATATGACAAAACAATTATGCTTACCAACATTTAAATTTAACTAATATCTGAGCTCACTCTGAAAAAAAACTGTTTCTTCAATAATTGGTAGATCAGCAGGCAGAGAAAATAATAAGGATAAGTGAAAAAAGTGATTAGTAATCAAACAAATCATCCCGTTTTTATTTTTTATGGGTTGAAAAATAATGATTTTTCATTAAGAAATTCACCGTTCCTGATTGAAATATCTCAATGAAAGGACCTAATTAAAAAGCATCATAATTCTAAAAGTTGTATGAATAGAAAAAATAAGTCACTATTTTCCTTAATGTTAACAAAAACAAATATGTAATTTTTTTTTATTAAAGAAGGAAGATTCGATGCAACTTTGATACATTCGTTGGCAAAATTAATATTTTTAATTTAGATGTAAGGCATCAGTTATTATACTAACGCATTTTCTTATTCAATGATTAGTGATTAAATATCCTTTCAACTTGTCAAAATTCATAAATAAAAATCTCTTAGCATAAATGGGAGGCGGTCAGTAGAAAAGGGGGAAATCCAAAAATTTTGTTAATTTTAATTATTAAGCTAATTTTGTGCACTTGACCGAGATCAGCCAAATGGTCTAATAATATAAATTTTGACCAAAATTTGGATTTCCCCCTTTTCTACTGACCGCCTCCCAAATATGCTTTAAATAAAAGAGATGACATTATAAAATGAGTTTCATAAATTATTTCTAACATAATTAATAGCAAGAAAAATTATTTACATCTCTTTCGTATCTTTCATATCAAATTTACCGATTAGAAATTAAGAATAGGATTGTTCTTAGAATCATTTCAATTAACCTGATACTAGCAGCAATAAATAATTGGAATGAAAGGTTGAAGAATGTTAAGCATGAGTCTGGTTAATTTTAATTTTTATTTTGCTTGCCGATTGTTAAAAGAAGGGGAGACGAAGTCTCTCACAAACCGCAAATTCTAATTAGAAATATTATAGGTCAGAGATAAATTTGAGACGCGCTTTTATTTACTTGATGGAATATTTTATTAGAGCAATATTATAACTAAAAAATACAGTATTCGATTTTGATAAGCGAGAGAAAGTTCTAAATATATAATTTAGCCGTATGACAAACAAATAAAACAAATTAAATAAGGTTGAATGAAGACATCAAATAAGGATGAGTTCATATGAAAAAGGATCACACACGCATTATTAAGACTGTGTGGCGCAATTCATAGAAAAAAGTAACTAAAAAGTGAATTTATTCAATCCTTTGTAACAACCAGAATGATGCGAATTTTGATTTGCATTCGCTTTCCTATATTAGAAAACAATTATTCACGAAGTTTGGATATACTGCGTGGACTTTTATCTATTCTAATAGTACTAAATTATATTCAGGAGAATTGAATAAAAAATAATATCTAATTCAATTGTTCAGTATGTGCTGATGGCTTGTTCACACGATAAATTGTTAATGGTGTAAAGGTACAGAGTTTCTACTTTACTATAGCGTTCGTGTATTTCAACTATCAAAGTTTAGTATATCAAAATTGAAAAGGATGCTATATGCTTATATTTTTCTAACATCTAAATAGAAAAAACCATTTTTGGACAAAAAAAACCATTATTAATTAAATTCACAAAACATTACATTTTTTGTGTATTGCCGATATTTTGAAGCAGCTGAAAATTTTGAATAACTTCATACAATTCAAGACAATGGCAAATGACCTAAATGATCTTTAAATGACTAAATGACAAATGATTAGTCATATAAAGAAATTATGTCATAATTCTGGTTATTATTAATATCTTAATTTTTCTTAATTTTTATATTCTAATTATTGGCTAACTTTACCTATACATTAAGGTTAAATTGGCCAATTCTGTAAATGGCTTAAATGACAAAAGGTCAAATGACCTGATCATTAGCCATCACCAACTCAAATGATAGAATAAACTCAAAATCTACATGATTTGCTTATTATTTTTAAATATCAAAAATTATTTAGTGTAACATGATTGATATAAGAAATACATTATTATAATCTTTAATCATAACTCTTCATCTAATTCTTTTTCATTTTTTTTGAATTGAAGTTAAAATTAAAATATGAAAACATCTGACTTATTGAAACCTGCCAATTACGTGAATAGGAAAAACAAATCTTTAGGACAAGGGCTTAATCTCAGCAGATCGTAGCACTAAGGCTACTCTACTGCTTACAATACCCCGTTCTTTATTTAAGTCGTCTGCAAAGGATTTATCTCACCAAATATTTAAATTTACAATCCAAGGACAATGTCGAAAACACTTCCGTCTCCGCATTAAACCCAATGATATGATTTAGAAGCTAAAAGCTTTATTTTTATTTGGGTAAGGTAAAAAATTATCGTCACGTTCTAGCATGGATTCTGACTTAGAGGCGTACTTTACATATAATATTTGTACAATAAGCATCTTGTGATATCTATATAAAATACATGACATTTTGCAAACGAGAATGCGCCACAATATAAAAGTATGCAGAACCAGAATCTGGATCGCTCCAATTTTCGCATCGCAAATGAAACATAGACCTTGAACAAGCTAGACGCGCATAATACACTGGTGGTACAATAGAAACTGCTCGTGTACATCGCACAAAGGAATAACACAAGTTGTACGTTAATGTTTGAAGTGAATCGGGAGTGAATCGATTTTCATCACACAATACGTGATAATGTGTTGAACGCGAAGTTCCTTGTAAACCAGCGTGACTCTGAAGGTAAAAGTCGAATTCGAAAGGATGCGCTATTGTTGATTCAATCACTGTACCAATAAGACAATTTCCTGTTCTATCCGAATCTTTCTTATCCGTTGGGAAAAATCGGACGTGATGACGTTTCTGTGCAACAACAAAGGTTATGGTTGGCTTATAATTTGCATCAAGTGATCTACATGCATCTGTTTTAAGAAAATGGAAATGAAATTAAATTAAAAATTCAGTCGTAAGAATTTACTTAGAAAAATATCCACATACTTCTTACTGCTTCGATTTCAAGATCAAACACTTGCTCAAATTGGTCCTCTGAGACACCATTTCTATAGAACAAAATACGAACTGGTTTTACTTTACAAGTCTGGTAAAAGGTTTCCAAAAGCTCCTTTACCATTCCAGCCAAGTCGGAGATGATTGCTTGTCTACCTGCTTGAATACGAATGGAAGCGGCATAACGATATGCTTTTGCATCCATTGAAGCGCATAAAGCAGCAATGGATGGGCGAGATTCATCAGCAGGATGTGTAACGCTTGCTCCCATTATGATGGTTGGGCGTTGCGACACAAATGGTATTTGACTTGGTTCGATGAAAGAATTCATTCCACCAAGTTTAACGTTAATTTTAAGACATAGATTAGCGCAATGTTGTTTTTTAGCTTGAAAAACAACCTTAGATTGAACGCATTGAGTGGCTACACCAATTATAGTATCACACACTCGTTTGATTTCGGCATACAATGGTACACCGGCGTTAGGAAGGATGCATAAAATTAACTGAGGATGTGATTTAGACGTATTACCAGCTTTAAGCCAGGCTTGCTTCAAGATCTCTTCAATATTACCTTGAGGATTACCTTGCATAATAGGTGGATGCATATTTTGGATATTCATTCCAGTGTCCTGGCATGTGATAACCAATTCTCTGATAAAACATTGTATGATTTGAATTGAGAAATATCCGAACGCAACGCATGCCCATGAACCAAGTGTGACCCCAGTGACAAATTTTTTATCACGCAAATTCCATGATCCATCCTTTGTAACAAAAGAAGTAGTATCATGAAAAAATGGGTGGTGATAATGTATTTTCGGAGCAGGTAATACTCTGGCTGGAACCACAGTCATTTCTCCAGATACTTCCAAACCAAATTGTCTCATATACTCGTTTTGTCGATAATTAAGAATATCTAAACCTTGTCTAATTTTATATGCACGATGTTGGGGTGGCCGACAAGAAAACTTCATCATGTCTGCTGACTGCCTTTCGTTCAATTTGCGAATATGATGTTGTCCCTAATAAGCGGATCTTCAATTAGGATATTCTTTTTTTAAAAAAAAATACTTGTATTGCTTTAAATAAATTAATACCTCAACTACTTCGCATACTTCCAATGGTAAAAATGTTTTATTTTTGATGACAACGCAAGGAAGAAATGGATATCGTAGAAGTCTGTTGTGCGTATTTAGAAAGTATGAAGCGACATCTATCCTACCATCACCATCATCAAATTTAGTATTTGATGCCGAGGTACTAGTTAAATTAAGAATTTTATACGAGCGTCTGGAACCATCTCCACGATGAATAATGCGAATCTTTAAATACTTTAAAGATTTTTCAAGTTTTAACCGATCTTTCTCCTTAATTCCTACCCTTAGATCATCAATATTACGTCCGAGCATCTTTGTGACTATAAGAACTAAATCGTTACTTTCATGAAATACAGTAGCACTAACATCAACATTTATCATTATTTTTGTAAATGTAGGCCTGATGGATTGTCGATATCCTTGCCAAAGTTCTACACCATCAAAACAATCTTGTGAGATTTGGTTAGTATAAAATGATCGTCCGATTGCTTTACAATTCAAGAATGGTTGATGACGAATCAATACATTAAGGGCCATAATTCCTGATTAAGAATAAAAACTTTGATTAATTATACAGTTTTTGTAAAAATAATTATAACGATTAATTAATTAACCTGTTAAAATGTTCGATGATAAGCTGCAATTTCCATAGAGGAATTTATGAAGTTCATTCATGTCAATTACGGCGACTTTCCTAATGATGAACTTAAAAGCATATGGAGGTTGTCGAATTATTGAGAAACTGGCATCCTCTGGAGGATATATATCAAAAGAGTCCGTATCGCCAAAAGGTAACGGTCTAGCAGTAAAAATATTCCTACGACCATCGAATACGGGTTTTATATCACCAGCAAATAAAGCTTCAAATTGTGAATAAATTCTTCTGTTCAAAGTCGGAGGAACTTCTGGTGTGATTATAACGTCATAGTGATGGATTTTTGTGTCAGCTAGATAGGTTACTTCAAAAAAGTTGGCTTTGACTTTTATAGGACGACCTGCACAACCTAAGCCAGGACGTTCAACAAACTTTGTTATAAACATATTTACTTTTATAATAAATAAAGTGGGTGAGAAAGATTTCTTTGAATTTTCTCAGGATTCTGCCATTAACCAGTTTTGTTACAAAAAAAAATTTAGCCATCTCTCAAATCAGGTTATAAGCTAATCCAAAAAAAAACCTTGGCAGGGATCTACAATGAATGTCCCAAATAAAATTCGAATAAAAAAAAATTATTTTAGTTTCCTCCCTTTTTACTGTTATAACATGAAAGAATTTATTTTGAAGAAAATTATTTAAGTATATGATATCACATTCACTTGACATCACGTATATTAAAAATATTATCAGCATAACATTTGTACGAACATTAACCTGATTATATGAAGTTGATGATGGAGTAGTAATAATTAATGTTAGCAAAAGATTAGTAAAGGTTTTGTTAATTGTTTGTATTTATTTCCATTATAATTTTTGAATGATATTTTTTTAAAAAAAAAAAATCACAACATAATCATCACGATATGAAATTAATCTAATTATGTAAGATATTAATAATACAATTATGGTCGCTAATTTCAAATGAGAGTCACGATTCGCCGACGGCCCCGAAATATATATATAGGGGTCAGATGACTTTTGAAAATTTTACTAATAGCTGTACTCAAAAGTTTTCTACGCAAAATTAGCACGTGACATCAGAAAATCGGAAAAAAATACTAATTGTAAAATAAAATGACTACTAAAAGATTTGTTGATCGCTGATTGTTTAAAAATGGAAAGGTTAAAATTTAAAATAGAATAGTTAAAATTAAACA